GTAAATTAACTGGGTAAACACAAATCTTAGTTAGTGTTTTTCCTTCGAAATCAAGTTTATTTTGGATATTCAGATAAAGTCAGTGCAGTATTTCACAGAGTAGCGACCATTGCTTTTCTTATTCTAGAATCAAATTAACAGTACCTCATAAGAACGTAACATTTACTAATCAAAAGGCTATTTCGAGCTTTAAATATTAATATTAACTATACAAAAAGAAATTTAAAATTACCTATGTGATTTCGAATCCGTAGAATTTCAAGTTCATCCACAACATATGCATATAACGTACAAATGAAGAAAATAATAACATTGATATGAAAGGCTATATTAAAATATATTATAAACTTTAAAACTTCCACAGACAATTATTGAAATTTATTTTCAAGCTTGTAAAATGCACCATGTATGTTGAATACAATAGTTACAATCTCTCAAAAATTATATAAATGATTAATATTTTAAGGGAATTGATATTTCCACATCCTTTTTTGATATGACACACCCCTACTAGCTCTAAACCCTAACTAAAACCTAATAATCTATATTGATTTTTATTGTCAGGGATGTGGCAATATCAAAAAATGGTGTGGAAATATCAACTTCCTATTTTAAGTTAAAATAAAATCTTTAAGTTTAGCTATAGACACTTTATAATATAAATAATAAAATATACAAGTGTAATGGATAATTATACACATATAACTGATAATAAATGTTAAGATCAATCTTTTTTAACGATTTTAAATACTTCATAATCGTCTACTAAAAACCAGCCATCAGTTTTTCTAATTGGATTAATATAACTACACTTTTTACAATACCATTTTTTAAGATCACCATCCGTTTTAAGATCACCATCCTTTCCAAAAAATTTGCCGCCAAAAGATGGAATGTCGCTTGTCTGTATTGCGTATGCATTATTTGCTCGGCTAAGAGTAGATTCTTTCTGTATTTCATTTTTTAAAGAGAAAATAAAACTGTGACTTGAATCCCAACCTTCTGTATTATATCCACCAGGAATAAATCCACCTAGTATCTCATTTGTTTTACTGACTTTTAAAACAGTTACAGTATCGGACCAACCCTCACGTAATTTACCTTTATCAATTGTTTTACTTTCAAATCCATCCCTGCTGCCTTTAAGTAACAGTCTGAACTCATACGGAATTTCTGCAACATCATAGCTATGAGTCGTTGAATAATTGTCAATCCAACTAGAAATCTCTGCAGCATGCTCCAAAGTAATTATAGAAGAAAATGGTGCGGGAATGGATAATTGTCGAGGAGGAAGTTGAGTTAAAATTTTTTTGCGAGAAGGCAAAATTAAAGATGTTATAGCTCTATCTGGGGCCAATAATTTTGTCATTATATCATCACATAAGATTTTTCCAAGAATTTTTTGGTATGGTAGGATTTTATCTAAGAAATCTACACTTGGAATTTGAAAATATCTAATATGAGGAAGACAATGCTGAAGAGTAATTTTCAACGAATTGAAATCGTCATCAGACCATTGTTCAAGATTAGATGGTAAGTTTTGAGTTTGTGCTTTTCCCCAAAGAATAACTTTATCCCAAATTTCAGATTCATCCATCTGTAAATCATCACGCTTTAAAAGAGAAATTAATGCATTTTCTTGAAGAGTAATGAAATCATTAGAATCAAAAACCAAATTTGGATGTTTTACGAGAATATCATTGCAAAATTGTTGTAAGACTTTAAGGTTTTCATTTTGAAAGCTAAATTGATGAATTCGAGAAAAATTGAACTTTATCCAAGAAGCATTATCTTCAACAAGACGAAATTGAAATGATTCAACTAATTCTGAGAACTTAAATTCGTCAAAAGCGGTAAAAAGATCAAATAAAACAGAAGAATCAAAATTTTCTAAAGAAATTACACCGCTGTAGATATATCTTTATATAATGAATATTTATTAAGGATTAATTTTTATTTTAAATCATAAAACAATAATAAGCGAATAGTGTAGCTTACTTAATAATAATATTAAATATTTTGACGGAAACATGAGGTAACTTAATTTCAATAATGTTATTTTGCTTGATTGCATTTACTAGTTTTTGTTGAAAGTATAATGAACGTTGATATAAGATCAATGAATGAGCTTTAAAAAATTGAGTATTTTGTCCTTCACCAACTTCAATTATTACATTATAATCATATTCACTTTCAAGAAGTTGGGTAAAGTCTTGAGAAAGTTTATCAAAAATTGTTACATTCATTTTGCTGATTCTGGAGTGTAGAAATTACTTTGAAGCAAGTTATCACATCAAATATATATACGTATACACGTAGTACAGACAGATACTTGTTGCACACGCTACAATATACAAGAACGTTTAGATCATTTTTGTGTGTACGGTAAAATGGCAATAAATCAAAGCAAATAATTTCATAAACTCTAAAACTTGGCTAAGAGCTCAATTAATAGATCGTTATTAACATGTATGAAAGTTTAGATATAAATACATATCAGGAAAACCCATGTGATTAAAGACGAACCCTTCATACTGAATTATAACATACTGTTGTAGGTGAATTTAGGATTTGAATCTAAAATAAACTTGATTTCCTATATTTTGCAAGGTTTTTAATTTAAAATATCTAATTTAAAAATAGAAAATTTTTAAAAGGTTATTGAAAACAGATATTAGATAATTGCCGATGTTTAAACCATTGTATATTTCTTACTATCATATTTTATTTAAAATGTATTCATTTTAAACAAATTCAGAATCACAGAATTTCAAATCCACCTACAGTAGGTTTCAATGCCTGTACTCCCAGCTCTTTATGCAAACAGATCATTGTGATAAATTTTGCATTGTTACGGATAAATGACTTATATTATTATTATTGTTATTATTATTGGACTGGAAGACCTTTCCATACTCTCTATTAATTTCAGGCAATGTCTAGCTTCCACCTGTAATGATGATAAATTTTGATTTGTATGCCCCTGTAGGAATTTAATTAAAATTTTAATTAATCAGAAGTATTAATCAGAAGTTAATCACTAAAGATAAAGTAAACTATGTAACTAATAATGATTAATTTCAAACTGTATAAATAAAAAAAATATGATAAATAAACTATATGATTATTAATAATTTATTATACTTCTGAAATGCATCAGAACAAAAAGCTACTTTTATGACACTTGAAGAACAATTAAGCTATCGAGACAACGAATAAACAAAAAGACAAGACCGCGCACACGTAGAAGCAATATTATTGGAAAGAATGCAAGATTAAATTATATATTTAAGAAATCCAATTATAAATACAGACAAACCTCACCATAATCACATCCTTGGTTTTAAGAATTTGGTGCTTATAGAGAGTTTATGTCTATATGGAGGTTGAATTTTATAAGTGTTATATAAGTAGGGTTTTAAAAATTTATGTGATTATAAGCTAATGTGACTATAGAGGAGGGGACTATAGAGAGGTCTGACTGTATACAATTACTTATTAACTAAGAATTTAATCAGATAACTATCGCAATCTATTAAAAAAATTATGTAACGCAGTTTCTGTACTTAAATTCTATTCCTGCCCAATTTGTAAAAAAGAGACTTCCGAATATTTTATTATATAATATGAACTTTAAAAGGTGCCACCCGCGTTACCTAATATTTGCTCCAGGTGGATAATTATGCAGGCCCAACACAGTCTACTCAAATGGTTTATAAGTGGCACCAATTTGTCCAATTAAGCATACGTGGGAAGGAAAATCAGGAATTTGTGCTCGTATCGGTATGCAATTCTATTGTGCCTTACTTTGGCAATTACGATTACAAATAGCAAGGATTCGACATTGGTAATAGGGAATTTGCTATGGTCTTACATTCGTAGCTATATCAAGAATCCGTGCTTTTCTGATCTTATTTTCAATAGTACTTTCTCTTATAATATATTACAAAAATTGAGAAAAAATGAAAAGATTAGCTAAAGAAGCAGAGATACTTTTTTTATAAATTATTGTCATGGTTGAAACTGGAAATTAAATAATTTAATGATATTTTAAACTTTTTGGGGAGCATTTTTTAACTTTTTTTTTATAGTTAGCTTAGAATTTATGGTTAGTTTGGTAATAAAAATCTATAAGTGGATTTTGGTAGGGTTTATGTTTTCAGTCATTTCCAGTTAATATAAATTTATAAAAAAATATGCTATATAAAATTCTAATAAAGTTTTATTGTTCAATGAAACGCCTCCGTTTCGCTAGTTATAAAGGAAGGTATCTCATATTCTGATTTTTAAAGGGAAACTTGTTTCCAAATTTTATTAATACACATAACATTTATGGTGGATTCATGAGTCAAAATTACATGATTTAAACATCACTTAGCGTATAAATTTGTACGATTAAACCATGATTGTTCTGTAATGATCTGTGATTGAGCTTATCAGATTGTAAACTAGATTGTAGTATATTTAAAGTTAAGTGACAGTTTAAGGGACTCTTGAGACCAGACTTTTAATTCATCTAAAAAAAATAAGAAAAGTGATCATACATATATTTGGGCTCGAATTATGAGAATGCATTGTGGAGGTTTTACCGTATTCAAGTTACGAATTGGCGAGTTTAGTCAATAAGAGTGACTATATAAAAAAAAGATAAACCAGATTTTTTGACAAATTACTACATATAACGATTTATGTTTTTGATTATTAATACTGTATACTTTCTCACATCAATTTTCTTTAGCAAATAAAATGCTACGTATTTGTCCGATAGAATTTAACATAAAATTACGGATCCATATACCGAATTATATGTTACTATTTATCTTGAATCTTGCATCTAAGACTGCATAATGAATCCATTTGTTTTAAATTGGGCTTTAAGATGGAATGGTTTAATCAACTTACCTTCTTTTGAATAGTAAGTTCCTTTTCTACAACCTCTAAGATCTTGCATCCCTTTTTAGAAGTTTTGTAATACGTAAGCATTTAAATACGTACATAACATGTTTCTTTTACCACATCGTACGACAGTAATAATGGTATATTGGTTATTTTTATATTGTTCTTAACGATAACGATAACCATAATTTTTACCGGATAGACTGATAATCAGACTGTACCATTTTCGGGTACGTGTGTACATATGTATGCACATAAGTAACATAAGTGCAGTAACATTGTAAAAAAGTAACCGGAAATTTGATAGCAAATTCCGAATAATTTTACCATAACGATAAAATTGTTTAGGTTAAATTCATATAATTTCACTGTGAAATCCCTTTAAAAATTACAAATGAAGTGTGCAGAGTGTGAACTTAATAAACTTTCTAAAGAATTTCCTCCTGATACTATTTCAAAACAATGCAAACATATTCCAACTTGGTGTTTAAAGGTTATCTACCGATACTTTGCAATATCTTTTTTCTGATAAATTCTTGTAGACATTTAAACTATTTTTTTTTTTCTCGAAAAATTAGTGTTTAGTTAGCTGTTTAGAAAAACATAATAATAAAGATGGTCCATCATGCCCTCAATGTAATGTTGTACTCACACAAAAAGAATTGGAATCTTTAAAAATTATTTGGGAAAAGGCTCCATTTTTGGTTGAGATTCCACATCTAAACAATGTTAAGGACAACAAAGAGATAGCTGAAGAAAAAGGAGAGTTTTATGTTGCTTTGTTGAACGGTCAAAAGTATTCATTTAGATTTGAGCAAGTCAAGACTGTTAGAGCTTTGAAACTATCATTGGTGCAAATAACCGGTATTGAGAGTAGAAAGCAAAAGCTGATATTTGAAGGCGTTGAATTAAAAGTTATTATAATACTTTAAAATTAATTCCATGAAATAAAAATTTCACTATGTTGTATCTAATGTATATAAAATATATTTTATATAGGATGCCAAACCCAGAGGTGGTGGTGATATGAGACTTGTCGAGTATGGAGTCCACGAAGGAAGTCATATTCAACTTATTGTCGTTCTGTACTCAATCACAAAGGATATGTCAATTTCCAATTTATCATTTAATTTACATTGGGGATTTCCTGCATCAGGAGAAGACTTCCTTGATGGAACTTGTTTAATTTATGCTGGTAGAGAACTTTGGAAAAAATATGATTATGCTTCACAATTTTATCCTAGCATACCCTATATTAGACATTCTGGTGATATTATTAATCATGCGAACCAACGAGGTTCGTATATTACTACATTTACATACATAATTATTAGCTGATAAATTGTATATTCATAAATTAATTTTTTATTTTCTTATGTTTTCAGGTAGTCACACAATTACTGTAAAATTAGATCAACTACCGGCTGAGGTCACAAAACTATATTTTATCCTCAGCGCATGGGAGTGTCCAAATATCGGTCATTTCAGAGATCCAAGCTTTCTATTATATGATGAGGATTCACCAGATAAAGAGCAATTATGCGATTATGCAATTCAAACCGCTGCAACTTCGCAAGCTGTGATAATGTGCTATGTTTCAAGGACACCAGATGATACTTGGGAAGTGATTCCTGTTGGTCGTCTGTCTAATGGAAACGCTATGAATTATATTCCTATTGAGAATTCCATTAGAGAATTAGAAGGAAATATTGGTCAATAGATTTACTTTATTTGCTAAATATATATAGATTTCAATGAATAAAATTTTGTTATAAAAATTCTGTGCATACCTATGCATTGGATCTTTTTAGTTAGAATCTGGCTATAGTATTTGTATTATTTATTCTGATTTATTGTCCAAAACGTAGCGGAGGACTTATGGTGGAATTCTAGATCAGATTTTGTGTATGTTTATGTTCGCACTGCTTCATTGTTGTAAAGTCTATTGTAATATGTGCTTCATTTGACCTAGGTTCAAATTCCATATTGACATAATAATGTTTCAATAAAATAACATAAACCTGGTCGCTTGAGTAATTTGTTCCCGCGATTCGAGGTATTATTAAATATCATTACCCACTTTCATATATGGTATTTTTTACCAATAACCAGTTTTCAAATATAACATTTTTGTGACTGGATCATTTAAACAATCGCTATAGCGAAAGGATCCCGAATAATTAACACTATTACAGAATCTTATTTATATCTCTTCTTTTAATAATGAAGCCATGCAAATGTGGATCATTAACTTACAGTCATATACCCAGTAAAGAGTGCATAGTTTATAAATCATGAAAATTACATAGAGACAGAAGAAAAAGAATAATTAAAAAGATATGTGTTACAAAAATTAGATTTAATAAATTTCTTGCAAAATAAACCTTTGAACCTATAATCAAAAATATTCTGAGTTGATTGAATGACATATAACATTTAAAGTCTTAAAACGTATCAATTCTTATATTTTTTTATCTTCTTAATACAAATTAACCTATTTCGAACTTGAATTACAATACTCTTATATAATTTTCTTTTCAAGCAGTTCTAAAAAAAAACTTTTAATGCTTATATGAAATGATAAAAAATGTGTATTATGATTTAAAAGAATTTTTAAATAATTAATAATATATTATTCTTTTAGTGATCTAGGATAAATAATTAATTTGATAGCATGATTATATGTAATTAATTCTAAAAACTGTATTATTGTAAATTTATATTAATGCATATCTCATTTAATTTAAAAACAATTGTATTTTCTTTGTAAAAAAAATAGTTACATATTTATATACGCATTATCATATTTTGAAACTTATATATAAACCCCTTTTATTTTTCAGTTTGTTTATAAACTTAAAACTTAATATTGCATTTTTTTTAAAAATTTAAATATGTTATATTTTTTAAAAAATAAAATATATTACATAAAAAATTCTTATTATGTTTAAAAATAATACTTATATAGAAGTAAAAAGTAGTAGAATAAAAATACATTTTCTGAGATAGCAATAGTCATTAAGCATATTTTTAAGCATCAAAAACATCAAAAAACATATTAATATTTTGTATATTAATTTAAGTTTTTCAAGTTATTAAACCTATTCTTGTATATTATACAAAATATAATAACTGATTTTTATTTTTCTTGTTATTTTTGACTAAAATTATAGAATTTTTTATAAGATTTTTTAAAATAGTGCACCTGCACCATGGTGCACATCTTATATAATTTAAATAAATATATATAATTAGCATATATAATTTATATAATACTAAAAACCTGTTATATACTAATATATTTACCTTAAAATATAATAGGTACAGCATGATGCATAGTGCATCAAATTATAAAAACTATTTTATATTAATATACTTACCTTAAAATGTAATAGATGCATCATATGATATACATAAAACTCTCCCTAACAATCACTTAACCACAAAATCAGCAAGAAGAAGAAACTAATTTTTCTTATAACTAGTAATAGAAAAACCTTCAGATAGCACTAAGCTAAAAAAAGTAATACTAAAAAATATACTAAACAAAAATAAGAACCTAGAGCAACACAATACTATTAAAGTAGTTACAAAAGAAAAGCAAAGTTTTTTAAAAAATTTTAATAGTAAAACAATAACTATAAAAATTGTTATTTAATACTGAATATAGATCTATTTACAATACACAAAAGGCATATAGCAGATTCAGTAATAACAAGCACATATAAGTAACCAATTTAAGAATAAACAAACTAAGACATAGCAATAAATAAAAAAACAGAAGTAAGGCAAATAAAAGAATTTTCTAAAATAATACAGCTATAAAAATAGAAATGAATAAAAGTTTGTCTGAAAAGTACAGAGAAAATATTAAAGCAATTTGTATAAAAAGAACATACTAGGCAATAAGCAGCATATACAATAAGAGTTTTCTTTAATAAAGTCAGCAAAATGTACATAATATCAAATAGAAAAGATAAAATAATATCAATGCTTACTAAACAAGACCCAAATGAAATGACTTTTTTATAAATAACAAGAAAGAAAATAAAAATAGTTAAAAAAGAACAGTTAGAAAAAAAGTTAGATATAGTGAAGCAAATTCAAAAATAGTGATAAAAAAAGAAAAAGAAATATAATAACAAAAGATAAAGGATAGGGTTTCATAGCCTAGTGGTCTAGGTACCTCTTCTTCCACAGATAAGGTCAACAGTTCAATTTCAGCTGAAGACAAAACTTTGTAATCTATAGAAGCATATGAATATATGTGAAGCTCTGTGACTAAGTTCATGTGATTAGAAGATCAGTGTATAAAGAAGTTCCTGAAAAGAAGTTTCCTAATATGAAGAGTTGGTGCTTGATATAAAAGAAGTAGTGAACATATTAGAAATAAAAAGAAGGCACATTAGTAAGTAATATAGTGAATATAAAAGAAAACTATGAAAAAGAAATGAACTTACTGAAATTCAAATGCTTTTGGCATCAAATTGGTTCTAGTAGATATGAAATCTTTAAAATTGGATGAAATTTAAAGGTAATCTTAGTACTATACTTATTAAATTTGTGTCAAGAGTAAATTCGAAGAACTATGGATACTTAGTAACATTCAATAAGATAGTACTTAGATATAAATAGTAATTAGATAGCCCTAGCCTGTTCTGTCATAATTAAAATAATATACATTATATATATATGCAGTAAGTGTTAAAAATCAGAAAGTTTAAATAGGGGACCCACAAGCAGGTCTCAGGTATGGCAACTAATAGGTAACCTATAGGTAAAACCTTTAATTAGATAATGACTAAAGTTATACATATAACTAGTTATATTTTTGTTAATATATCCTATATATAATATATAATCTTATGTTACTAAATAATAATAAAGACATTCAGACAAGATTACTCTTTAAAAAAAAAAAAAAAAAAAAAAAAAAAAAGATTATAAATATAGAAAGACAAAAAGATTTGTATGAAGAAATACAGAAAAGAAAAATAGCTAACAAGAAACTAATCAATAAAGAATTACAAAAAGATATAAAGCCTATATAAAAAAAAAAACAAATACTAAGATAAGTTATTTAGATAATAAATAAACAGAAGCATAGCATTATATTCAAAAAAAGAAATCTAAGAAACAATTAGAAGAGCATGAACAAAATATAACAAGATTGGAGGAAGTCACAAAATAAGACCTAATAAAAAAGGAATAGAAAGTCAAAAAAGAAATTAAAAAAAAATAAATATAGTTAAAATATCATTAGAAAAAAATATATAAGTACCAAGCAAAAAAAATTTCAACTAAAATAACAGCCTACTTGCCAATATATCAGCATATAATGTGCCTAGAATAACAAAAGAAGAGTGTATGAAATTTATTAAATAATCACTAAAAGACAATAATCATATTAAAAATATTAAAGAAGCCTTCAAAAGGAAAAACTTATGAATAGAAGTAGACTTTGATTATAAATATAGCAGAAATGAAGTAATATAAAGAAATAGTAAAAAAGTGTGTAATTGATATAAATTAATATCAGAAAAAAGAAAAAAAAAAGAAAAACAGTAATTATATAATGAAAAATATCAAAAAAGAAAAAACAACATAACAAAACTTAAAAAAGTAATATATAATAAGTAGAAAAACAAGATCAAAATAGACATAAATTGGTATAAGATAGATGGGAAGTTCAAAAATAAAAAATACTTAATAATATGGGACTTGCTAACAGATATTAACAGAAAAGAATTAGAATATATCTATAAAAGATTTAAGAATATTCAAATAATAAAAATTAAAAAATAAAAGAAATAATAACTTTTTCTATAGATTACTTATACCAAATTTTTGCTAAAAACATTTAATTATTTCTAAATATTTTACTAAGTTAATCTTATTTATATCATAAAGTAAAGTTGTTTAGCACATATTTCTGCTCCTAGGCACCAAGTTTTAAGTTCCAACAACTTCTGGCTATTAAGAAAAGTTACAAAAACCAATATTTTAGATTTGCTTATTTATTCAAAATTTTACTAATTAAATATACTCTGTTTATTATTAGTTATTTACTCAGTTCACCAAAATGGATATTTTAATATATATTTTATTTTAAACAAACAAAAACTCATTATGTTATTTACAAAAAGGCAAAACCTAAAACCTGTCTTTGCAAGTCTTTTTATTGGCAATTTTAGGAAAATTTGCAGTAGTGTTCTGAAAAATTAACTTTTCTAGTACCCATTAAAATTTTCTAAACATCCAATCACCTTTTCCAAACACTATGCAGCTTTCAGATTCTTTCTAACTAGTCTAAAAACTACAAAATGTAAAAAATTCTTCTAGAAAACCTATTTTTAACTATTTTTATGTAACAAAAAATTAAGTATTATTACTAGCTACACAAATTACATAGGTCACAATACTTGTAATAGTCATAGTAATATCTTTAAGAAATATATATTATTCCTATAATAATATAATTACTTGTCAAATTCTTAACAAACAAAAATTTAGAAAACCTTTCTTTATAACAAATTTGATTTAATTACAAAATGCCAACTCTCTTAAGCTCTGAATCTGATTCTGTTAATCTTGACTATTTTTATGAAAACTTTTCTAAAAGTTTTGATATTAGAGTTTATGAAGAAATCTTATTATCTTCTTATCCAATTCCTATTGGCAGACAATCAAACAACTGTTTTAATATTAAACTTAAAGGCA